AGCACGGTTAAGTACACAACAAGGGGAATACAAGGGACCAATAGGCCATGAATCTGGGTCTTGCTAAATTACTGATAAATCTTGTAAGGTTTGACAGGAACATTCTTTATGTAGGTACTTTGATAAGTACATAGTTAATACGTAGGTACATAATTATGTTATATTTGACTGCATGGTTGGCGCGGTGGCTGGGCAACTGCCTGCCGCACATAGTTCGAGTCCTGCACGGAACAATTCTTTCTGTGATCTACAAATTGTTGTTCCGGGTCTTTGTGTGTGTGTGTGTGTGTGTGTATGTAAAATTGTACATATATTTGTAAACGCTCCCACGACACAGAAGGAATTCCTAGTGTGGAGCAAGGGTGTGTTTTTTAAAAAGTAAGAAGTTAAAACCTTTAATTTTCGATGTACTTACAGTATATCTAATAATTAGGCATTTATAAAAGTACAAATGTACATAATAATAAATAAGGGTTTTCCTTAACAGAATATTATGCATAAATAGTAATACGTAATATTGACTTTAAGTAGAAAATATACTTCTCCCATAGACGAAAAAAAAAAGGATTGATATAGGACGTTCACAAGTGATAGAAGGAGACATTTCTTTAGAGTCAGCTTTTCCATCTGAACAAGACAAGCCGAAGGCCATTAGGATACATTTCCCGCTGACAGCGATGCCGATGGATTTCAAACCAATAAATAGAATTTCTATTTTTATGGTATCATCAATTGAATGTCTGTTTTGTATGGTATAACTACATATTATGTTTTTTGATAGTTTCATATAATAAATATAAAACTGTTATAAAATATGTAACGGATCCATTATTGAAAGTAAAGCTCGTTGTCATACGAAAAAAAAACAAAAATAGATTTTTGATTTATGTTCTAAATTTCGGGTAGCAGCACTATGTGTAATATTAAACACATTTCGACATATTCAATAGAGCTAAATGAAAACACTACACACACATTACTGAGTAGATAACATTTTGAGACTTCATACGTCCATAATACTTATACGCTTTCAATTTTATCTTATGTCAAGTACAGCAGCCGGGGCTGCGTGGTAAGCGCTAGAAGGCACTGCGGCTTCGGCCTAGAGCAGGAGAAGGAACGGCGGTGTTTTGAGAGTCTGACACTCTCTTCTACCCAACCCTGGGCGGGAGAAGCCATTTGATGACTGTCCCCTCAAAAAAAAATCTTTTATACAGATTACAACATTGAACTTACTTGCTCCTGTAGTGTAGCGAAGTGATTGCAAATGTCCTTTGATATTTTAATCTTAATACTAATTATACTCTAATCTTGTGTTGTGAAACTTTTAATGTAAAAATGAAAAATAAGTTTTTCTTTCCTTATAATAACCATCTCTAAATCAGCAAATTGCCACTTGAGCTGTTCTGCCTCTACAGTGTACTTCCAGTAGTCTTCCAAATCAATAAAAAGCTACTGAAAATTGAAATAAAACCTGAACAATTTTTCTTCCATGGTAATATATACCTTATAATGGTTATTAAAGGTCACATTAATGAAAAACTAGTTAGTAGATAGAAGGGAATTTACCATACATATTCGCATGTTACAACAAACCTTTAACTTTTATCTGCCCCAGACACACAAATTGATTTAACCTCGTTGATTAAAGAAACGAATAAATCTCTGACTTTTGTTGTACTGATCAAGCAGGTATGTACTAAGCTTTAATTTAGGTTACGGTTGTCCTCAAATTGTCCCAAGTAATTGCTTCAAACGGTACTGTAACAAAACCCGGAAAATTCCCGTTGACCTTCGAGTATGTCTGTCCGCATTTTTCCTTTTGTTGTGTTAGCTAGTTTTGGCCCACGACTTTTTACATTCATAAATCTACCGTTTTTATAAGCTTTCCTTTCTCTTTCATCGTACTATAAGAATTTCGGGATATTCTGCCCTAAGACTCTTATGTGGGTACTCCCAAAGGGACACCCACATGTCATAGATTTTTTCAACTATGGGTAGTAGATTTACTTTTATGTAATCTGAAAGGTTCTCAATCACTCAGTTAAAAATTTAAAAGAGTTTCATTACATTTAATTATTATATATGTACTATGTATTTGTTCAAAGATTGATAGCTATTTATTTTACTTACATACTTCGTTTGTATTACAATCTATCTTCTCCATACTCTCATTATACTTATAAGTCGAGACGGTCGGATTCTTCGAATTGTTCTTGCCAACGAATTGTTCAGTAAACAGCGGAAAAGTTCACGTAACTAACTTTCCCTTTTATTTGTCGTAATAAAATCGTCTTTATTTCTTTTGGGTAGTCAAATAATAGGAAACGTAAATTCTTGTTACTAAGTAGGTATTAGCTAATAAAATTGATTGCGAAATAATTTACGAAACTTAACTAAATATTTAGTAATACTTTACTTGACGAGATATTCGAGTTATTGGTTGAATGTTCCTCAATAATATTATTTGCTGAGGTTAATATAAAGTTTGACTGCTTGTTGAACTTAGCAGTAGCCAATCAGAGCGGCAGCTAATTAATCAAAAATGAAATGGTGTGTCAATAAAATACTCAAAGCAAAGTTATCTAAAAATATTACTTTACTCAGTGATCAAAGATATTTTCGCATTTCTGTTGTAAAATGTCTTATAACGAATTCGGTTCACAATTATATTTAAAAAATAACATTTATGGTCGACTCTTAAAAGTTTCTGTAGGTTCCATTTAAATTTAAAAACCTTTATTTAGATGTTTAAAAAAATACAAATTAATTCAACAACAACATGTTTATTGAAAAAAGAAATTATCCACTAACTCCTATAGAACAATAGATATTTAAATTGGTACAATTATTTTCAAATTAGAATTCAAAACGAAATCAAATTATTATAGATACTGTATTGTCAATGATTGTCTGGATAAAATGTGTATGAAAATAAAAATTTCTCTTTACACTAAATGGTGTTGACAGTATTGTTTTACTTAGACAATGGCAATAGGGTCTAGGTTTGCTTAAAACTTCGACTAGGGAACAATGCACAGGCGGAAGCGATTTTGAAATTCTCGGCATTCAACTCCAAACATAGTAAGCCTCCCTATGACGATGCCAGTGATGATGACTATGAGTAAACTACCCAGCCTATCTTGGAGTAGTCTACCCATATTTGGCTGGTAAGTGACCACAGGCAAAGCACTAATCATTGTTATGCAAAATTTAAAAGCTTTCACCATAATTATTATTAAAATAATCAACCATTTCACAACTGAACATAGACCCACCTACCAAGATAAGCTGTTTAGAACCAACTAGCATCCAAAGTAAAACATTGCCTAATTAAAATACCTATGCAAATATTTTCATATATCGCAGACGTTTTTAATTTAAATAAGTAACATTATGCATTTATTTGTATTTTTTTTCTAATAAAAATGCACAATGTCTTGTCATGTTTTGATGATAATTAAATTAGCAAAATTAACAAAAACATTTAATGTTATTTATATATATTTTTTGTAAAGTAAAGAAATTGTTCAACATCGCGTTTCTGAATCCAGTAGGTAGGAGGTTTATTTTAATATTATTGGATTCGAACTCTTTTGAAATATTCAGATTTTTTGTTAAATCGCCAGCAATAAAATTCATTACGTGTTGAAAGTTATTGACGAAAATATAATCTTTGTACCTAATTACATAAGGTGATGTCAACCATGTCATTCGACAAACAAAAACAAAAATATACATATTCATGTATGTTTGTACAACCAAAGCACTGTCAACACCATTAATTTGTGCAATTCATGGAAAAATAATTTGTCTTCTTTTACATACTCCGTAATTAGGAACAGTTTTCTAGAAAATAGTTGTCTATAACGTTCTATATTTAAATAGGTAATTTAAACTTATTCTATTATCAAATGACCTTATAGGTGATGAGGTTTTATGAATGACCCTGACTGTTCAAATAAAGAATGTTTCAAAATTCAGGCTGGAAGTAATTTACATTTTTCAATTTGCTAAATGTTTCTTTTTTCATTGTTAAAGTAAATCCTATAACAAGTAATGGTGTATCGGGATTGTACTGATATAACGAGCAAATTTTATTGCAGATTCATGTTGATCGCAAATTTATTGAATAAAATTCACTTTCAATTGTTGTTTCATTCTCTATTTCAAATAAGTCTTTTGTTTCACGAACTTTTGTTTAAAATTTAGAATATTTGTATTGAAATTATCGAATTACGATGAAAATGTATTAAGTTACGTAGAGCGTGAAATTTTGGCACACCCGTTATATTACACAGATATTGTAAATAATGCACACCAAATTAGAAAAAAAATATTGATTTCGAAAAGTAGACGCTTTTCGAAATCAATATTTTTTTGTTTAAAAAAACTTAATATATTTTTAGTCAAGAATAAAAAAACATGATGCTGTGAAAATCACTTATATATTCAATCAATTTATTAAGCTTGATGTGGACTACTTACGGCTGAATTTATACATGTTTAATAATGAAAAATACAAAATAAGGTAAAATATTAATTACTTAAATAACACAAAACATATATTTTGCTTCAATTAGCAGAAACATAAGTTAAAACTTAATCAAGAAAACAATTATTGCTTTACTTTCATAAACAATAAAAAGGTTTTATATTAATAAACAATCATGCTGTAGACGTTTTAAAAAAATGCTAAACAACCACAGACGAAATATAATCGCAGACAATGGAACCTTTTTTGTACAATAGGCACCAAAATGACTTCCAAGAAAAATATATTATATTCATTTTCGATGTATCAATTACAGTATTAATTAGGAAACTCGATACAGATATTAAAATTTTATAAATACTATAATAAACTCTTATATTATATTCCATATAAAAACTAGATTACTTGCGAAAATTCTCGTTTTAATTAATCGAGATCATTATTAATATTATTTACAATGTACAATCAATTTTCGAGTAAAAAACTATTATTATTTACACTTACTTCATAGTTTATCGTCACACATGTGATAATGTCTATCATCGGGTTCACCTCGTGGGTTCATTCGCACTGCGTTGCCATTCGTTATCAGTTCTGTTGCATTCGAATGATCTGTAAATAAGAACAGAATTAGAATCATCGTCATTGTATAATTACCAAAGTAATTCCTATATGGTATCATACAAAATACTGGCTTAAGACTTCTAAATAGACTATGCTTATCAAAGTATTCAATAGTTTTTAAAGTGTATTTGATGTAAATTTTCGCTAAATAGTATCATTTCTTTTTTAGGTGGACAAATCAACATATGTCTTTTCTCATTCTGGGGCCTGATGCGGGAGTAGACGTTAATCTCTTATTGATTTAAAAAAACCTCCCTGTTCCTTCACCTGCTACTGACACTGGCCGGGGTAGGTACCTACATTATTTAGTAAAAGCTCTTGAATCAAACTGAAGTTTCAAAAGTACCTGCTCTGTTTATGATTATGACAAAAGTACTCATAGCGTACACTTGAAATCACATGACAGGTTTACTAATGGTATAAGATACATCGTATTGGATATTACAACACTTTCCTAACGTAGGTAGCTCGTAGATCAGATTGCGAGCAATTCCTATTACCCCAGCTCACTGCTCGCTGGCCCTTTGTTTGGAAATTGGATGACTTCGAACAAACGAATGGGCTTGACTTTTAAGCCTCTCATTGTTATACCGTCATGCTTCAATTCACTTCATCAATTCTGTAGACATAGTTATTCAAAAACGATCGATAAATCAACAATATAGTTCAAACAGTGAGAACGATTGTCATTTGTGTTTTCATATAAAAATATATGAATTGTATTTTGAAAAAAACACATACTTATAAGTTACCTACCTTTAAATTTGTGGGGTGTTTTTCATTAAAAAACAATTAAAATATTAAGAAGTCATATGGCCTGTATAAAACTATGTGAGTAGCAATTGTCACAAGGTTACATTTGAATATAGAACGTATATCTTTTTATTGCAAATAATGAATTACTCACGTATATAGATTTTAATAGAAAATAACGACCTAATCCCTTGTACTGATTGAGAAAAGCTACTAGTTTCAAGTCACAACGCTATTTTTTTTATGAGCAGCGTGCGCTTTGCGCCGAAATTTAAAGTGTGTCTTGCAGTTATTACTATTCGAAAATATTACGTTATTTGAAAAAAATAGATTGCACGTGACTTCACATTATTATTTTTATTAGATTAATATATGAAAGAAAAAAGTTTTTATTCAAATTCACGGCTGTTTTTTAGTAGAACAATGGCTGCTTTATTGTTTGTATTTGTCATTTATTTAGGCTCCTGAACAAATAAAAGTAGTGATTTTTTGCACGATAGCCTTAATTTCTTAATAATTTAGGGGCATATCTAGACAGACTTTAACTATTCGCTTGACAATGGCTATTACTTTATATAGTATTTTATATGTAGACATAACCACAATGGGTCAGTAAAAAATAAATAGCTTTTTGTGCCCTCAAAGCACAAAAAGAATGTTATATTCATGAGAATTTTGCGGCAGGTTATAAAAAATATATTGTTTGTTCTTTAAATTTGATCAAGCTAGATAACGCAAAACCTCGTTTGGATTTTATTCAAAATTTGTTTAAGTATCCTAGTTTTATTTCATTTAAGCCTTTATTGCTGATACTATACAATTAGAAATATTATTATAAATTAACACGTCAGTTTTCCCGGTAAAGTGACCAGCATGTTCTGTGACCATAGCACTTTTCTAGATAATTCCACTCTTCTTTCTCTCTCTAGCTTGTTTTGGCCAGGTTTTTATCTATTTATTGAAAAAAAAATAATTAACAGGTTTATAAATAAATAAAATAATATCGGTATCCGTATCGGTATCTGCCTATCCATACCGCCTATAAGGTTATCTTAGTTAAATTTGTTCAAAACCTGCCAAAAATTTCAGTCTAGAATCTAAAATTTTATGGAGACACTCAAATAAAACTTGCATTCAGTAATATTGTGTAAATTGAAATTTGACACAATATTACTGAATGCAAGTTGTACGTATTTTTTTTATGTAATAGGTCGGCAAACGAGCAGACGTATTGCCTGATGGTAAGCAATCAGCGCCGCCCATGGACACCCGAAACGGAGGAGTTACGAGTGCGTTGCCGACCTTTTAGGGATTAGGGATTTGGAGATTTAGAAACTGGGGAGGGATTGGGAAGGGGAAGGATTGGGCCTCCGGTAACCTCACTCACAACACTGTGGTTGTTTCACGCCGGTTTTCTGTGAGGCCGTGGTATCACTCCGGTCGAGCCGACCTATTCGTGCCGAAGCATGGCTCTCCCATACTTAAAAATCCTAAGACGTGATTTTTATTAATTTTTTTCCTTTTTTTAAAGGAAAACGTTGCCTGATGGTTTTCTTTCGTGTATTTTGTAGCTAGCCGCCTGCGCAAAACGTGAAGTTAAACTTTTAGGATAAGAATCCCATCACTAGCCTATAAGTGCCCACTGCTCAGCGAAAGTCTCTTCTCACACGGGGAAGGCTTGAGCATGTCTATCAATAATCAGGTTACACTTCAGCTTGGAAAAGCGTAAAAATATACTGTGGCTCCGACCTGGAGCAAGAGAATAGACGAAGTGGTTTTTTTAGTCAGTGAGAGTTTGACCCAGCCTCTTGGCTCATCCAGGGAGCTAGAAGTACTTTTTTTTCTTCAAAACAAAAGTACTTAGGATGTTAACATTCACCGTTCGTCAGTGATGTCTCAATTCATTTAGAAAGTACTATATAATTTTGAAAAGTCACAATAGTACTTGCCATGTTTTGAATCCACCCTCATTCATAAGAAGCCGCCCGAAGGTAAAGGCTCCCTTTACCTTCGGGCCACCAAGACTTGGGACTAACTAACCACTTAGAGTGCGTAGGAGTACCATGCATTTTCCTCCCACTCTTGAAAACTTTTGAACAAGAGATTTCTCATATCTGAAAGTTTTAGTCTGAATAGTGAATAGTAAACTAACGTTCGAGTTAATAGAAATAACTCGATATTTCTGTACAGAGACACTTTATGAGCTATATTTAGCATAATAGTAACATACGAATAATATAATATTAAGTAGAAAACTTATTACATACAATTCTAAGAAGTATTGTTTACTCGTGGCTTCGCGCACTTCTGCATGATAAGCATGTACGACATGCATTTATTTCTACAATACGTATTAATAACTCTTTCAATTCGATTTTAGGAGTAATCGAAATTATAACATTAATTCTTTTAGATTAAATTCAATTTGCAATGGCAAACATACAAGTTTAGTGCGAAATAAAATAAAAATATTTTTGCACCTACACATTCATTTTTGGAATTAGGTTTTATTTTCTCGGAAAATTTATAAATTTTGATACGTAAATAAATGGATTAAAATTTAATTCGTGTTTTTTACAATGAAAAGTGGATTGATTTGTAAGTAAACAAGATAGTATTGAATATTGAATATTCTCAACATGAATTTTGTAACATTTAAATAGAAAATAGAAACATCGGGATTTTATTTACAAAAGTTAACAAAATTTTTGATACTTCAATAGTGTTTTGGTTTAGGTGCCATAAATGCTATTTTTGTCTGTCGGATGGCATATTATAATAGTATGCTTTGAATTATGTATATTTGTTGTTTTAAAATCTTAACCCTTACTACCTACTACCGCATATAGGATACACAAGAAATAGATAATTTAGATGTCAAAAAAAAGACATAGTAAACAGCAATCTTGTAAATGTTGCAACTAAGCTAAGCTTGCTTACAACATTTACGCTTTCCTCAACAAATTGATAATACAACACATAAATAATAGGTAGTTTAATTCGAACCAGTAGTTTCGGAGATAAGCGCACTCAAGGTAACAAACAAACATTATTTTCAGCTAGGTGTAATTACAGATTATTGAGCTCATAAGTTAATATTAATTGAATAATAATAAATAATCAGTGAGTGCTAGCAGAAAATCCCGTTCATTTTCCTAGCCCTTGAAGCTTGAGCCGATTAACTAACTGAAATCCACTAGCAACACTCGCGTATAAATTGCACCCGTGCTTGGGTAGTTATTAGTCATCATTTTCGTGATAAATTATGCAATAACAATATACCTACTATTGAAAGCTATTGTGACTCAAATATCAATCATCGGCCAGGGAAATTAGGGCGCCCAATGAGCAGATAGATCACCCGATAATAAGCCATCAGAACGTTCACGGAGAATACCAACGCCAGAAAAGAATTACTCGTACACCTCAAGAATTTATTTCTTTCGACTCACTCTGTTTGCGTGGAATAGTGATTTCCTGCAGATTTTTGGTATTAAAACTATCCTATGTCCTTTTTCGAATTCCAAACTATGTCTGTACGAAATTTCACAGAAATCGGTTCCGTAGTTTAGGCGTGAAGAAAAAACAGACAGACAGACAAACAGAGTTACTTTCGCATTTATAATATTAGTTTGGATAACGACTGCAGCTGCCAACCGTTGGCTGCTCGATATCGCACAGACGCGCACGCTACTCATGAATAAAAGTCCCGTTGTGACTTGAAACTAGTCGAGTTTTTGTCAGTTAAATTTTGTATGTCTCATGATAGTTACTATTCAAACATAGATTATTTCTTTAATGTAAAAAAAAAATTAGTTTGAAAAAGCTGAGAATATGTGAACTAATATTTTACGTTACATGAAATATTGATACTATATATAGAATATAGAATGATTGATTTTTATAAATTTGTACTAGATTTAATAAACAAATTAACTATTTATAGAAAGGACTGCGAGCTATAAAGTCCATCTTATATATTCAAGCCTAGTTAGTTGCAAAATTGACTTGTAAATTAGGATTTCAAAGCACGCGTTCGCTATAACAAGGCTCAGGATCAGTCTTAGCTCTTAGCGTACAATCTAGACTTTTTGCAACGTAATCGTATTATTGTACATTTTGAAAACACTTAAAATGTTTTGTGTATAGCTTTTTTTGAATAGATACATTAACACATAATAGCTATATCAATAAAGTTTACTGGAATAACCGTTAAAAAGCAACACAAAACGCTA